GGGTGGGGGGCGCGGGGGAGCCCCCGGGGGGGGGCTCAGCCTGTGCCGGGGGGAGGGTGCACTGCCCAGAGCAGCCCCTTCGAGCAAGGACACAGGGAGCCCCCCCCATGGACACGTGCACCAGAGACACAAAGGGAGAGACCCCGCGGGGTGTGAGCTATGGAAGCTGGCCAGTGCTATTGGACACGGGCAGTGGCGCCCCACCAGGAGACACAGGGATAGACCGGCCCTGCTAGGCTGAGCTGGCTAAGGCAAAAGGGAAAGCTGGAGCTTTACAGACTCACAAGATGGTTTATTAGGTGAGGAGCTTTCGTGGGCCAGACCCACTTCCTCAGATCAAATAGTGGAAGAGAATTGGCAGGACCATAGCTAACAAAGGAATACAATGAAAAAAGTGAACACATTATAAAACTGACAAATCAGATTTAGTACAGAAGGTGAGGGAGAGGGAGGTAGGGAATAGCTATTTGCTAGTCAATGAACGGCTAATCAGGGGTGATAAGTGGGGAAACTATCTTGGTAATGGGTAATGTAATTAGCATCTTTGTTAAGGTCCATTCCTAATGTGTCAGATTTAAGCATGAAAGAAAGCTCTGAAGTTTCCCTCTGTAATCTGGTGTGAAAGGCTCTTTGAAGTAAGATGCATGTAGTAAGGTCGTTAAGACTGCAGCCAGGTAGGTTAAAATGAAAAGCAACTGGTTTTTCCTTGTGAAGATGGCTGATGTCTCCCCTCCCCACCCTGTGGCTGTGTCTACACTGGCGTGATCTTGTGCAAAAACTTGCTGCCTGGCTACACTGTCCACTAGTTCTTGCACAAGTAAACTGACTTCTAATGTATGAAATCAGGGCTTCTTGCACCAGAACGCTGACGCGCCCACTCAGGAATAAGCCCTTTTGCACAACTGTTCTTGCACAAGAGGCCAGTATAGACAGGCTACATGAATTTCTTATGCAAGAATGCCCGGTGGTTAAAATGGCCATCGGAGCTTTCTTGTGCAAGGGAACGTCTACACTGGCACGGGTGCTCTTGCGCAAAAGCACATGCCAGTGTAGATGCTCTCTTTTGGGAGAGCTTTTGCACAAGAACTCTTCCACAAAAGAATGCTTGCACAAGAAGCTGTCAGTGTGGAGGTAAGGTAGCCTGTGTGTTTGGGGGGGGGCTGTCATCCTCCCTCCCTGATGTGTGTGCGGGGTGGGGGGGGGCGCTTTCCTCCTCCTCCCTCCCTGATGTGTGTGTGTGTGGGGGGGAACTTTCCTCCTCCTCCCTCCCTGATGTGTGTGTGTGTGGGGGGGAACTTTCCTCCTCCTCCCTCCCTGATGTGTGTGTGTGTGGGGGGGAACTTTCCTCCTCCTCCCTCCCTGATGTGTGTGTGTGTGGGGGGGAACTTTCCTCCTCCTCCCTCCCTGATGTGTGTGTGTGTGGGGGGGAACTTTCCTCCTCCTCCCTCCCTGATGTGTGTGTGTGTGGGGGGGAACTTTCCTCCTCCTCCCTCCCTGATGTGTGTGTGTGTGGGGGGGAACTTTCCTCCTCCTCCCTCCCTGATGTGTGTGTGTGTGGGGGGGAACTTTCCTCCTCCTCCCTCCCTGATGTGTGTGTGTGTGGGGGGGAACTTTCCTCCTCCTCCCTCCCTGATGTGTGTGTGTGTGGGGGGGAACTTTCCTCCTCCTCCCTCCCTGATGTGTGTGTGTGTGGGGGGGAACTTTCCTCCTCCTCCCTCCCTGATGTGTGTGTGTGTGGGGGGGAACTTTCCTCCTCCTCCCTCCCTGATGTGTGTGTGTGTGGGGGGGAACTTTCCTCCTCCTCCCTCCCTGATGTGTGTGTGTGTGGGGGGGAACTTTCCTCCTCCTCCCTCCCTGATGTGTGTGTGTGTGGGGGGGAACTTTCCTCCTCCTCCCTCCCTGATGTGTGTGTGTGTGGGGGGGAACTTTCCTCCTCCTCCCTCCCTGATGTGTGTGTGTGTGGGGGGGAACTTTCCTCCTCCTCCCTCCCTGATGTGTGTGTGTGTGGGGGGGAACTTTCCTCCTCCTCCCTCCCTGATGTGTGTGTGTGTGGGGGGGAACTTTCCTCCTCCTCCCTCCCTGATGTGTGTGTGTGTGGGGGGGAACTTTCCTCCTCCTCCCTCCCTGATGTGTGTGTGTGTGGGGGGGAACTTTCCTCCTCCTCCCTCCCTGATGTGTGTGTGTGTGGGGGGGAACTTTCCTCCTCCTCCCTCCCTGATGTGTGTGTGTGTGGGGGGGAACTTTCCTCCTCCTCCCTCCCTGATGTGTGTGTGTGTGGGGGGGAACTTTCCTCCTCCTCCCTCCCTGATGTGTGTGTGTGTGGGGGGGAACTTTCCTCCTCCTCCCTCCCTGATGTGTGTGTGTGTGGGGGGGAACTTTCCTCCTCCTCCCTCCCTGATGACGCGAGCAGCGCAGCTGCCCATTAGCCTCCCCAGCGCACGCCGGCTGCGCTGCCGCCCCCTTCCGTTAGCAGCGTAGCTGCCTCGCCTTAAACCGTCCTCTTCCCAGGTCTTGGCCCTGCGCATGCGCCAGGCGTGACACCCAGGGCTAGTCAGTCCCGCCCGCACACGTGGGTCACGTGGACACAGAGCGAACGTCCGCGTGCCGGGCGCGATGGGGGAGGGGTCAGTGGGAAAGCTTACGATCGGTGGGCAGTTATTTACACCGATGGGGCAGTGTGCGCATGCGCGAAGGGAGACGCCGAGAGCGGCGCGTGCGCCCCATGCGCGGGGCGGTTTCGACACATGCGCTGGGAGCAGGGACAGGGCGGGACCGGATGTGGAAACGCATGCGCAGGGCGGGGTCGCGGGCGGCAGTTGCTGGGAGGCGCAGGACGCGCATGCGCAGAGGGATCGAAGGTGCCAGAAGAAACCAAGCGGCGGCTGAGGCGGCGAGAGCTGGGTGAGACGGGCGGGCCGAGTTGTGGGGGGAGTCGGACCGGCGGGGGGCGGGGCA